CATATTTGAAATCTCCACATATGACTTTCGGTCAGCCATCTGTAGAAATTTTTCCCATAATTCCTTCGGTATGGGAGATATTTAGCATTGAATTTCCAAAAATTTTGACAAGGGTGCCTTTCGACAAGTGTCATGCCAAGGGCAATGCACCGACTGAGACAAAAATACCCAGGGGTTCAAGTTGAGATTATATGTGACTTAAATCCAAGAGATGGGCACACAGGCCCATGCAGTCTAGGAGAAGAAGCGGTAACGGTGACTTGTATCCCACGACACCCTGCGGAGCCAACGGAGCTTACGGAGCCGGCGGAGCCGGCGGAGCCGTACGAGACGGGTCGGGACTAAAACCATGAGTACCGCCAGCGTAGACGCTGGTGGTACTAATTACATACAGATACAGATATATGTCAGCAGGTTAAACATTCATCATACAAGTGTTACCAGCCACAGATCAGTGCCACTATTGAAAGTTGTGTCTTTAGCAACCTATGGCATGTAATATCACCACATAAATACCAGGGATCATGCAATGATGCCCTTTCGCAGATGTACATAGTTCAGCTTCAATAATAACTTGTATTAAAATCAAACTTACAGAGACACGACAAAATTTAGTTACTGACTTCAGTCACGTAAACTGACAATTTTTGGCTTCTGCTATTTTTCCTGTTGGCTACCTGCAAAATGGCATAACTGTTCAGGTTCAGCTGCTATTTAGTGCTCTCTGTGTTTACTACAGGGAAAATTCTGTTCAACATCATTTGTGCAGACATCTTCCGTCTCTCAGAAATATAATGGGGTGCTTCAGCATGAGGCTTTACTACACTAAAGGTATAATTTAGAGGCTCTTTTTTCCTACTTTAAATTTTTAATAAAATATTTTCGCATCTTTCAGTTTATTCTCAAAAGGGACAGTATATTTCTGGGTGTGACTTCATGATATGTCAACAAAGTACAGTACTGCATTTTCACCTTAGGCAGTTTTAGTACAACATTCAAAAAGGGACAAATGTTTTCATGACTTGTCAGGGGTGATCCATCATGTGTTGTGTAATATAATACCTGACGCGTGCATTCCTCACATGAAAGAACATCATCTAAATTACAAAATGCCGCATGATAATCAACACAGAAAATGTATGTCAGTTTAGGAACACAAAGATAACATATTATTATTAAACAATAATATTATTTCAGACCTGATATCTTTTAATAAAGAATACAAAAAGTTTCACAAGATAATAATTATCTACAGGTCATACATCCAAGATAAAAAAATCTTCAAAATTAATTAAACGTGATATATATATATATATATTGTGATAAAAAGTATGAAACACTCTTCAGTGCCCTTAGCATACTTGTTTTACTGTTATAAATATGTCAAAAGAATAGGTACAAGGGTGCTATGATGATAAACAAAAAAATTTCCACTGGGTCCCTCCCTGTTTTCATAATCAACTTGGTTGAAAATGTTCTTACCTTCTAACAACTTCCCCAAATAAACATTAGCATTCTATAATATGGTCTTATCAAGCATCTTTAAATTTCTGTAGCATCTTTAAATTATTCACCAACTACAGAAAATTTAAATTATCATATACTTAAATTTCTTTAACATTATTAATGGCTGAGCATTACTTGACTGTTGAAGTAATGCAGCAATGTTCGCCATTAATAATGCGACCTGGGCTTTTACATGAGGCGTGCCTGTCCCGTGTTTGTGCATGACTAAGATACCTGATAAGTTCCTCAAAAGTGCAGTTTTTAGGTACTACATGTGTGTTGATATATGCGTTATTTGGACTGAGTCCTTGTGTGGGAGGAAGAAAGCATACATTGCATGTAACAATGCCTCGTTGTGTTAAATCCACTGTTAGCCCTCATTTCAAGCTTGCATATTTTGTGTTTCTGTCAAATTTTCTTCAAAATCAACGATATCTTAACAAACATTCTTCATTTTCCTTTGCCAAATAAAGCATTGGACAGCACCTGGCAAACATTTTACCAACAAGTAAAAGGTAACCAGTTTCACTATTATCTGACACACATCAACATGGACAAAGTAAAAGATTCTGTCATCACGACCACAACATACAACCTACCACCAGTTCAGCAAATTTTACGTTCAGCTCCTCCTCATCCTCAGGCATGGGGAGGAGGCCGCCAGCGTGGAAAGACTGCAGGGCAGTGCCGTTGACAGCGGGGTCGAAGGTGATCTCTGGGGGACGGGTGCCGCCCAAACACCAACAGAAATTTCTTTTCTTCACTGCGGGCATGGTAGTGTCCAATGTAGTCTGAAATGAGAGATAACATATAAGATATTGCATGACTGGTCAAGGAGGATGTCCAACAGGTATCAGTATGTTGGTGGGGACAGTGTGTCTTACTAAGCTGTGGCCAGACGCAGTATTTTAGACCAAAAATCTATGTGGCAAAGTGCAGTACATAGCATAACAAAGAGGTTCCACAGTGGGGCAGATTTCAAATTCATCTAATATTTGTAATAACATGAATCTCAATGACATTACAACACGGGGTCTAGTCCATATAGTGGCTAAAATTCTCAAGTGTGAGTGGACAGCTTTAGTGTACAAACATATATACCTGCACACCTACAAGCCTTCAAACTGCTATAGTACAGGATCTATAGATAGCCAAATGTCTATATCATACAAACTTACACTCAAGACCAAAAACTAGCTACACTGTTCAGCTCTGGTGAGTAAGCTGACAGTCCACAGTTTATCATATCAAATTTCCCAAGTTTACAACTGGCCATCCTTTCTCAGTGGTCTATCACACAGTGGCCACTAAAACAGGACTGCCCCTGCTGTCTGCTACATGCACTCTTAGTTGTTCTGATGATCAAGATATAAGTTCAGAACATTAGACCGCTGTGAGATCTGTCCAAGTCAATATGGTTCAGAGGTTTATGAGGTTTGAAGTCTTCTGGACTGTAGTGTAGACCAGACAGGCTGCCAGACACGGGGGCCCTCTTCTATCACTGTTCTATGAAGCTAAACTTAGTGTAGACTATATGTGATCAAAATTGATTAACAAAAAAGGATAACAACTGTAGCATTTAATTATGAAAAAAAATCCTTCTTTTATTACAAAACATAACAACTTGTGGCTTATGCAGAACTTGATAAATACATGACCTATGACTTAAATTACTGAAAATCTGAGTAGGAAGAACAAAAAAGTTGCCTGTTAAATGTATCGATCAACATTGTAAGGAGAGAGAGAGAGAGAGAGAGAGAGAGAGAGAGAGAGAGAGAGACTGAGACTTATCTTCACAAACTTTTGTCAGAATCTCACTTTTGAACATAACCATTCCTTTCCTGATTCAACATAAGAATTGGAATGTGAAAACTTTATTCAAATTAATTGGACACAAAATACAACACTGATTATTAATGCAAATCACTGGAAGTTAAGGAACAGGAAAAAGCCCTGGTGGTGTTGTCAATATGTTGGTAAAGTATTTTTCAAAAAAAAAAAAAAAAAAAAATGCTGAGCTAATTGCACATGGATAAGTCACAACATCACTTTCTAATTAGCCTTTCACAGGGTCTGGCTATAGCAACCTAATCATAATAATTACATCAAATATAAACAATTCCCTATCTACCTGCTCGCTATTTTCAAACACACCTGGGGTATGTTTGACCAAGCAGAGCTAGCTTGCTGTCTGCCAGGTATGTATTTTCTCCTGAAATCTTTATCAATGCAATGGACTTTCTCTGCTGACACCCTGAGAATCAGAGGTCACTCTAATGTTACCTCTACACTCAGCATGTCTCTGACATTTCCAGTTACACCCTGAGAATCAGAGGTCACTCTAAAGTTGACTCAGCATGCCTCTGACATTTCCAGTTATACCCTCAGAGGCCACTGGAGACTCACTACCATGATAAGCCACCTTTGACATCCTCAGTGTCCAGTTACTGGCCATAGCCAGGAGCAGATGGAGGCCATTTTCTAGGTCTTCTGGAAAACTGTCAGAATTTTTTAAAGTTTACATTCATGGGCATCTAATTTTTTCTGTCGAAAGATGGTCAAAAATGGAAGATAGAACAACAAAGATAATTTGGAAGACTGTCAGAAAATATCTCTGGATCTGCTCCCAGTAGTGAAGGAGGAAGGCTCCCAATTATTTCTTAAACACAGGGTGACTGCTGATTGCTCTGGGGATGGCAATGAAATGAATTCCCAATCTCCAATAACAGTTGGCAATAACAAAATTGACAGGAGCAATCTATGGGGGTCAGATTAGTAAGATGGAAATTCTTTATCAATGGAAATGAGAGATTGAAATGGATTTCTCCAAAATATCCAAATGGATTCTCTACTGGCATACCAAGTGATAACAAACTTTCCAAAAATAACCTGAAGCATCAATAGTCTCTTGCACTTGTTGCAAGGATGTCAATAATTCTGAATTAGGTTGTTTTTCAATCTGTAGCTCTTTAGGCACTACCTCATCACAACTGAACTACTCAGAACAGATGTAAAATAATCAAACCAGTAGTCAGAGTATTGGCTGCTAATTCATCTATTCAAAATAATTTCAGTGATAACCATCAATGAAAAGAGAATGTAAAATATTGTACTAATTTATTACTCCACACTTGTCGCTGGTTTAGTACAATTATTGATTTGACTAAAGTCATTCAGGATCCTGATATTTGGCTATAGTAAATCAAATTCTGAGCGAGTCCTAAGCCTGTCTGTGGCATCAGAACTTCATTGTCATTTAGTTGAGAATACATAAACATGTCTCCTTCACTGCCAGTAAAATTCACCATAGCTGTATACACTCACTTAAATAGAAGCAGGCATTGACAGAGATCAATCAAACATGTAACATTCAGGCTTCCATATTACATTAAAAATAATTCATATGTGCATGCCATATTCTCTTTAAGTGCAATAATCCTAATACCTAAATCCAGTACATCCTTATTGTCCACACCCAACTAAGACACAGCAACAGTGATGGGCTGTTTCTTGTAGAAAGAATTCTAATCAAATGCTTAACTGATGTTTATTTGGTTGAAGAAAAAGATACTGAACCTTTTTTTTTTTTACCACATATCCAGTTCAAATTGTAATGTTTCAAAGTCCAGCAAGGGCACGCAAAACCAAGAATGCCACAGTTGTAATTATCACAACTTTCTAATGTTTCTGTTTCAGTGCTTGGCATCATTACAAATCAATTTTTTACTACTGACCAACTTCAAGAGACAAGACCATCACCTAACTACCCTATTAGTGCCTGGTTTATTTTCTAAAAAACTGGTATCATTCTCAACTTGGGCCAATTTTTCCATCAGAACTGCTTAATTTGGATCCACTCTATCTACAGAAAAAAAATCAACATATTTACCCCAGTTTTCTTTGTACCTAACTAACAACTTTTAGCACTTAAGTTTTAATTAAAACCTTAAGTCAGATTCAAAGTAGCCCGAGTCAAGGGAAACACATTATAGCTGCCAAAGAATCCACAAATGGAGGTTTAAAATAAGTATGCAATGAGGCCATTATCTCCCAGGCTCTTAATAGCATAACATGTGAGGCAGACAGACACAACACTTGATATGATAACTCTCCCTTGAGAGGGCCAGCAGAACTGAACAGATATTTTTCCGTCAATAGGCAATGAATTTTTTCTCAAAATCTTTTAACCTTTAATTTGTCCCTTTTTGTTGGAAAAAATGATAATCTCGCAGTGATGCCACAACTAAAATTGTGAGATCACATTCGTCTAATTTCATAGATTCAATGTTCTTGTTTCTTTTGTCTGTAAAATATATTATAAATCAGTGTACATCAGTAAGGCTCATGCTGAGGAAAAATTTCCCTTTAGCAGAATGATTTTTGACAAATCAGAAATTTTAACCATATTGATGACAATTTTTGCAAATAGTGATATATTCTCTATTCCCTATAGCCAAATAGAATATGCTTATGTAGCATCTGGCTTAAACCAACTATCCCAACATCAGCCAAGCTAGACTAGTACTAGCATACAGTTTACATTAGCCTTCCTTCCCAAACATTCAAAATGATAACTGAAAGCTAGAAAAACATCATAAACAGCCTAGATCTGCAGCTAACAATTTGAAAAGTGGGGTTCTTTCTCTGAAAAAGTGAACCTTAATTAATTCCTCCTTGGTTGACCCATTATGAAAAACCTACATAAAATTTTGATTTAGAATAGACATTTTCCACACTATAAAATTCTTTTGACAACCATTTGGAGCACCTCCACCCCCCACCCCCCCTGCATATCAATCTGACAAATTTCTGCTTATTTACCTGAGCACCAAGTATATCTCATTTATCAAAATAGTAAACATCATTAACACTAGGTAAACAAACAAACAAACAAACAAACAAACACATCAATGTTATCCTTATTTACCAAGGTGTAAAACTGTTTCTCAGCCTTGGACAACAACATATGTTACACAAAGCCCAATCTAATTTTCACTTTTTTCATACAATTTGACCCTGTATCTCCACACTGGTTCACAAGCCAGTCTCTAGTGCACCTTACCCTTCAATTTGTCCTCATATCTTCACAGCATTCACCTTAAATTGTGTTACAACAGACAGTAAAATATCGACATCATCATTTTCATCTCGATCATCCTGCCAGAGCTGCCGCCCATGTGAAACAAGCTCCACGCAGAGCAGATCTCCTCTCCAGGCAAAATCAATAGGTTAATTCAATCAGAGCCAGAGTAGTACAGCATGCAGGATGAGGTTATAGGATCCACTGGTTTCACACTGACACAGACAAAACAGATCTGATTACTAAACTTCCCAGGCTAAAAAAAAAAGCCGTAAAAGATTGTTATGTGATGTACTTTTTTTAACAAAACACCAGAAGAGAAAAGTCTTCTTAAATTTTTTCTTTTCAACTGAATGCATGGCAATTTGTTACCGTGATTAGAAGCCTTGCATAATCATTCTGTTAATCATTTCTTTTCCCAAAAACCAATGGGGAATATATAGGTGGCATTCATCTGAAACCCCCCATCTCCATCTATGACCTTAAGTAATCTGAGAGTTGCCCCTAGGTAAACATTATCATATCACAAACCTATCATTTCTGATCTAACATGCATGTTTCCAGTGTCATACTCATCTAAATATACACATGCTCAAAGTGACTGAAAACAAAATTCCAATTTTATCAGCTTCTGCTCTAAAACACCTTTTATTAATAAGAAAAAGCAATGATCAGTTAACCTGAAACATTCTGACTTTCACCTCATATTTA